GATCTATAGATATGAAAAGTGGATGCGTACCACTGACAATTACCCAAATTATAATCCTAAAGAAGGATGCAATGGTTAAAAATGGGATTTTTTTTTACTTCTTCAGCTCTTTCCTTCTAGTTCCTCGGATCCCCTTGATCTGTATGTCCAAATAAAAAGAACTCTTCTCCGAAGGAGTGTTTCTTTTCTCTTTAAATTTTAAGACATCCTCATTTGGATCTCCAAATGGAAGAAACTCCTCCTTGAAAGGGTGTTTTTTTCTCTTTGGATTTCAAATTAGATACTAAATATCCCATTTTAAGTAACTTTCACATCCTTTTGAAATTTAACTTTACACATTAAAAATAAACATAAGATTACTCTAATATAATCTACATGTTATCCTAATTAGTTTATATATATAATCATCAAAATCACAAGCATTTATAATTTCATTACTCCCATTTAAGACAAAATATTCACTTGGTCATGCTCTTTTATTTTTAGGGGGCTTAGCACATTTAGCACCTAACGAAAATTCTATTAAAGAAATTTTTATTAGCCCCCTTTTTATATCCCTGCAATAACATGACCACCTATAAAAATATTTTTTAGCATCTAGATCATTCCTAACCTAAGATAAATCTATCTCCCATCACATCATATCACATGTAATCACAATAAAAATATCACATCAAGGCATCACATAATATATAAAGTCATGACAACCAACATGCAATGAAATCCACATAAAATCCATAAAAAATCATCATCACACATAGAGCAAGTATAAATAAAAGATGGCCTAGCCTAAAACTATATTTGGTTTTTCTAACAAGCCATCTATAGTGCATGTGTCAAGCTATGTGGTTTAAATATATCTTGAATGGGTTTTTGCTTGAAGTTTTCAAATGTCTTATTTTTGTTTATTGTAGGCCAAAGAGAATTTAATTAGAGTTTAATTACTATTATTTTAGTATTCATTTTAGGATGAGTTTTAATTTTTAGAGTTGGTTAATTATTAGTTTTCTAAGATCCTAAATTTTAGTTAGGTGTTTTAGTCTTTAAGACTCAAAATTTGATAGAATTAAGCTCTCCAAAATAGAGTTTATGTAAGGTTTGGAGGTTCTATTAGTTAATGATTTAAGATTAATTATTTACGTTAAATAATAACTTACTTTGTTTACACCATGGCCATGAGATTTATTTCACCCTCTTTTGGGTTAACTTAATAGCCCTGTAGGCTCTGGCTACCCAATAGTTATCTTTTGGTTTAGGTTTGATTTAGTTTGTTGATTAAGTTATCTAAATGTGTGGTTATCTTGATAATGACTTTGAATTTTTAAGTTTGGACATTTAATTAATTAATTTAATTATTTAATCATGGAGTTTATTTCATTCTTGCACCAAACTCACTCCAAACCCCGTGAAATCTCACCTAAATATTAGGAATGATATGTAGTAGCGTTTTTAAGAGTTTATAATTAATTTGATTATCTTAATAATTTTTAATTATTTATTTTGATTAATTATTTAGTTTTCAAATTATTAAATTAAGGCTAATTTTGGAAGTCAGGTGACATGGCTAATTTGGATAAGCTTTGTTGGAGGATTTGGGGGGAAATGATTTGACTAGCCATGCTTGACTATTTGACAATAATAATTGCTTGGAAGAGGTTTTATTGACTTCTTGACTAGTAAATAGTCAATGGTGACTAGGATAGGTCTTTGAGAGATTGTGTTTGTTATAGGAATAATTCCCAAAGGGATTGAGGCCAAGGTTTGGGAGTATGGAAGAAAAATTGATTGCATAAAAGAACTTTAGCCTTACCAAATGAGTTGACCAAGTCAAACCAATAGGGTTTGGCACTTGAAGTTATTGGATGTGCATGGAGCATGCAATGAAGTGATTTTGAGGATTTGATTTGGTTTGGAAGTGCTTGAAGCATTAAATTTGACTTTGGTACGATGTACGATTGATTTGGTCAATCATGGTTGACTTGGTAAACCAGGTCAAACCAAGGATTAGGGTTTGATCCAATAAATTAAAATGACATTTAAAAACCAATGGAGGTGGTCGCATGTAATGATGAATTCATTTAATTCAAAATATGCGTGGGGACCTTAAAGGGCATTTTTTCCATCCATAGTTAACTTGGTCAACCATGTCAAACCAAGACTTGGTTTTAAGTTCAATGCACTCCTAATGATGTTTAGGATGCATTAGAAGAGGTTCCATGGCTTAGCTTGATTGAGCAATTTTGAAGTTTAGAGAAAACTTCAATTTTGCCCTTAAGGGGATTTGGGGTCAAATAGGCCTATGGTCAACTTTGGGTCAACAAAGTCCACCAAAAGTTTAGTTTTGGGTTTAACATATAATAAAGATAATTATGGACATTTTTAAAGATTTTGGAGAAGGTTCCAAGGTCAAATTGTGCATGATACAAAGTCTAGTGGCATGGGCTATAAACATTTGAAGGTTTTATAACATTTGGAATGAAGTTTTTTAGGTTACATGGCTTAGATTGGACTTAAATTTGGAGGAGTGACCCTAGAGACATGCATAATTAATATAAAATTAATGGATCATGAATCAGGGGACATTTGGTTCGATTTTGAGGTGATTGAAATTTCACTCAAAAAGGATAACGAGACATAGACTTTTAGCCTTGATTTTTTTCATTTGAGATTTTGAATTTGATCTTCATTTTTTATTTGGTTTTGATTGATGAAACTCATGCAAGAATGAGGTAAATATGCTATTATATGCTAGGTTTAAAACCTATGCAACCTATCTTACAAATTGCCTTAATTGAAAGTTCTCTCTTATTATTGGCAGGGGTAATTAATTGTAGGGGCTTGCGCCTATAAGAAACCAAAACTCAAATTATAAAGTCCTCATAAAATGAGGAGGAAATCTTTGGGTAGTGTCTTATCTACAAATCAATCTTCCTTATGAAAATTTATCTTGGAACCTAAACTTTTTAAAACTTTCCCAACCAAATTGAAAGAGCTAGAGGTCGGGGCACATAATTTTTAAAGCCCACAAGGAGCATAAGCCTTTTTAACTTTGCTGTGTCAGAAAGTTCTAAGTACCGTAATAGTAAAATTTTATAAGGTTGTGGTGTAGCAGTTATAACCGATACGAGCCACATCAACTTAATGAAGAGATGCACCAATTTAGGTTGTAATTATGCCACATCACCCATCACCTCAACGGAGCTAACATCACAGTCTCGAGACACTAGTTCATTTTTTGCCACCATAGCGCCACCATGTCTAGCACTGTAGTGCCACCCTGTCAAGCACTATAGTGCTCAAGTTTGATTTTGTACTTTCTATAAATATAAATAAGTTCTATTATTTAGAGAGTTCAATTTCCTGAGTTTTTTTAGTACTTTTAGTGTATTTCTTTAGTGACCCCATAAACTTTAGTTTAAGGGATGATAGAAAAGTGCAAAATATAATCTTTAGAGGGACTAGCCTGTATTTGTATGAAGAACTCTATAAGTGGAGGAAGGAGTATAGAGAAAATACTTAGATCCAACCTACTGATAAACTTCTTACTTCTCTTGAACTTTTTTCTTGGATAAAAATAATATGAGTTTACATGTTATTTATTCTATGTTTGGCTAGATCATCTATTTTGTGCTGATGATATAAAGAGCATATGAAGTACTAATGTAAACTCTTGTTATTTAATAGAAATAATGATATTTTCAATACCCTTCATTCTTAATTTAATGCATACAATGGCCATATGTATAATTAAAACCTAATGTGAAGTATAACCTCGATGGAGAAATGTAAGGACAATTAAAAATATTGAAATCAAATATTGACATGCCTAGACATAGGATGTTTTAATACTCTAGGTTCTATAAAGATAGTAAAATTGTAGGGAGACTAACAGTCTTTTATTTCACCCCTATGAAGCTTCATAAATATCTACGAATGTACATGCTCTTATTCAAATCTATAATTAAGATTCTCATTATAAAAAAATATATTATTTATATTCCTCAATCTAAAACATTTATTAAAATTGTATTAACTTTATTACTTATTTTTATTCAGAGATAGAAACTTAAAATTTTCATTTTCATTTTAGTAGTATAAGTTCATGCATTTGGAGAAAGGAGTAGTAATTTTGTTACTGTATAGTAGATCACTTCCTCATGGGATTGATAGCATACTTATTACTTTATTACTTGATTCGGCATGTATACATATGTAAATTAGTATGCTATTTAAAGTTTTTCATTAAAAAAAAAAAACTAAGCATATTTTAAATCCAGCGAATTTTGTATTAGCTCACCATTATCTTATCATATCATATGCACCCATCAAATTTTTGGTCATGTTGCCCGGGAAGTAGCGTGGTTATTATAAAATACTATATTATTAAAGTAAGTGCATAGTTAGACCTACTTGCATCAGTTATCTATATTCTATTTATTAAAGGAATTATAACTCTGAAAATATTTTTCTATTTAATTATTTAATTTTTATTTTAGTTATTGTATCTTGTTGTATGTGTAATATATCTAGTAAGGAGCCTTTAGTGTTTAATACAAAAATAAAAAGGACCCTTACAAGAATTTAAAAGTCTTGAAAGTTTTTAATTATGTCTAACCTAGTTTAAGATCAAGATCGTGTTAGACCATTTATGAAGTATGTTAATCCTGTAGTAGAAGTATTTCATCATAATATCATTACAACAACTATCCAGGCTAATAATTTTGAATTGAATTTGGCTATTTTACAAATGATAGAAAATTTTAATTTAGGGGAACTCCTATTGAAGATCCTAACTTACATTTAGCCAGTTTCCTAAAATTTTATGAAACTTTTAAGTATAATAATGTTAATGATGATGCCATTAGACTTAGACTGCTCCCTTTCTTTTAAAGGATAAGGCTAAAATATGGTTAAATTCTTAGCCTCGGGCTCTATAAACACTTAGAATGAGTTGGCTCATAAATTTCATGCAAAGTATTTCTCACCTTCAAAAAATTGCTAAACTTAGAAACGATATTACTTTTTTTTTCCAAATTTGACGGAGAATTTCTTCAAGAAAGTTGGGAGAGATTTAAGTATATGCTTAGAAAATGCTCTCACCATGCTTTACCTGATTGGTTGAATATTCAAACCTTTTGTAATGGATTAGTAGAATTTCTTTGGTTAGTCATAGATGCTATAGTTGGAGGATCATTAATATCTAAGCCATTTAAGGATGCTTACAAATTGATTGAGGAAATTGTTACTAATAATTTTAAGTGGCCTGCTAATAGAGTGAATACTAATAGAGTAACTGGAGTTGATAATATATTTTGTGAATTCCTACTGCCGAGGTAGCTACTATTTCAAAGAAATTAGATACAATTAAAGTTAAGGCCAGACCAAATAGGAATAATAATTACCCTAACTTAGTTGGTGATCTAGATGCATAAATGTTGGGTTCCACATCATGTAGTGCCACACCATTACCTTCATGATTTGAAAAAAATTGATCTGTTGGGAATGGTAAGATACCATTAGAATATGTTGTTATACAATTAGGAATTAAACTATAATATCAAGCTATTTCTTTTAAACAAAATAAAAGATCATATAGGGCATCTTGCTAGATTGATTAACAACCAAAAATTAGAAGAACAATGTAATAATATTCAACTTAAAAGTGGGAGAGATTTGGGAAGCCCATACAAGGATAGAGATCTACCTTAAAAGAATAATGATGAAGGAGAGCATCTAGAAATAGAAACTTCTATTAAACACCCTAACCCTATAAAAGAACCTAAAAAATAAATTTAGAAGGTTGTAGATAGAACTTCGTCACCTTTTCCTCAGAGTTTAATCAAACAAAATATTGACAAGAAATTCTCGAAGTTATTAAAGGTGTTCAAGAAATTAACTATTAACACTTTGTGAGAGGTCTTTATGTGTTCTAGTATCATGCATCAATCTCATGCCCCTTTTAATCTTCAAAAGATTAGATATAGGAGAGGTTCAAACTACTTCTGCTACTACTCAATTAGCTGATAAATCTTTCACTTATGCAATAGGTATAATAGAAGATGTGTTGATTAAGGTTGATAAATTTATTTTCCTTGTTGACTTTACTATGCTTGATATGGAAGAAGATAGGGAAATACCTCTCATTTTAGAAAGACCTTTCTTAGCTACTAGGAAAGTCATAATAAATATACTAAAAAGGGGAATCAATTATGAGGGTTCAAGATTAAGGGGAATGAATTATGATGTGTAGAAATCTATAAATTTTTCTCAAGAAAAGAATAAATATTTGCTTAGATTTAATATGGATGACACTATAGTGGAGAGTTTAAATAAGAATTATTGGAAAGAATTCCATTGGATAAATAAGAAATTGAGGAGATTTGTGAAGTATAGAAGAATTTATTTCAGCAATTGAAAGTAATTCAAGACTGTTTAGAGAGAAGTTTGAAATTTTATAGACTACTTATTTGGGTAAAATTTTGAGAGCTTCTATAGATGAAGCTCCTGACTTAGAAATTAAGGTTTTACCCTACCATCTTAAGTATGATTTTCTTGGTAACAACTCAACTCTTCCTGTAATCATTTCTATAAACTTCAAAAAAATATTAGAAAATAGATTGATTAAGGTTTTGAGTAATTTTAAAAGACCTTTTGGGTGGAAAATTATTAACATCAAAGGAAATAGCCCTTTAATTTGTATGAACATAATTTAAATGGGAGCTATTTCAATACCAAAAGCTAACCCTTAGAGAAAACATAAACCTTACATGAAAGATGTTATAAAGAAAGAGATTTTTAAATGGCTTGATGATGGGAAATTTTATAACATTTCTAATAGTTCTTAAGTGAACCCTATTCATTATATTCTTAAGAAGGGTGTCTTAACTATCATATCAAATGAACACAATAAACTAATTCCTACTAGAACTATCATTGGGTTAAGGATTTGTATTTACTATAAGAAATTAAATAAGGCCACATAAAACGATCATTTTCCTTTGCCTTTTGTTTATAGATGCATGATAGGTTAGCCGGGCATTCATTTTATTAGTTTCTAGATGGTTATTCAGGGTTTTATCATATTTCTATTGCACTTAAGGATCAAGATAATACTACCTTCACCTATCCTTATAGAACATTTTCCAGTAGGAGAATGTCATTTGATAAAAAAATGTATGATATCCATTTTTTTCAAACCTAATTGAGGAGGGTATTCAAATCTTCATGGATGACTTCACTATATTTAACACTACATTTGATTCTTATATGGAGCATTTAACTCCTTTATTAAAAAGAAATGTATAGAAATAAATTTAGTGTTAAATTGGGAGACATTTTAATTCATGGTGATTGAGGGCATTATCATGGGGCATAAAATTTTAATGAAATGATTAGAGGTAGATATTAATAAAATTCAGGTTATAGAAAAATTTCCTCTAAAAAATTCAATTAAAGGAATTAGAAGTTTTCTTTGTTATGTTGAATTTTATAGGAGATATATTACAGGAAAATCACTCATTAGTGGAGGTTAACACTTGTTTTATGGCAGTTTTGTTAAACACTGACGGCTTTTTGGCGGTTCAAAAATCGCCAAAAAAATGACGCCGGAAACCATTACCGATGGTGTTTTTCTGGCAGTTTTCTTCACCGGCAATTTTCCGGCGGTTTATACCGCCGGTTATCTTCCGGCGGGTTGAGCGCCGGTCAGACCGCCTGTTAAACCACCGTTATTACCGACGGCTGAAGAACCACCTATCTAGACTGTCAGTAATCGATGAATTTTCTGTAGTGAGATTCATTAAATAATTCTCTAAAATTTTTAAAGCTTTGTGTCATTTATAGAAGAAGAATATTCCTTTTATATTTGATACAACATGGCCTGAAGTTTTTAATACTTTGAAATAATATTTAATTAATGCTTTATTTATTCTTATTGGTCTTTACCCTTTGAAGTGATGTGTGAGAAAGCACTATTGTTATTGATGTTGTCCTTAGTTAAAAGCGAGATTAGAAATTCCATAGCATTTTTAAGCTAGTAGAACTTTAAATTCTATACAATGTAATTACTAAACTATTGAAAAATAACAACGAGACATTATTTATGCTTTTGAAAAATTTAGATCATATTAGATTGGTGAAAAAATAATTATTTATATTGATCATTCTACTATCAAATATCTTATGATAAAAAAAGACACTAAACCTACATTGGTGGATAGGTTTATTGTGAAAATTTTTGATAGAAAATGAATTAAAAATAATATTGCTGATCATCTTTCTAGACTTTTTATTAAAAAGCATGGATCAATTGAGTTCAAAATTAATGAATATTTCCCTGAAGAATGGTTATTTGTTTTGTATCTGAACAAACTTCCATGGTATTCATATATTGTTAATTTCATTGTTTGTGGTATACTTCCATGCGATTTATCTTATAATCAAAAAGCGAAAATTTAGGCATGGTAACAAATATTATTTTTGGGAGAATCATATTTATTTAAGTTATGTAACGATCAAATTATTAGAAGATGTGTCCTCGAGGAAGAAATAGAACCAATCATTAGGGAATGCAATGATTCTCATTATCGAGGATATATTAGAGATTTTCAAACTACTTTTAAAATCCTCAAATCTTATTTTTATTGGCCTACTCTATTTAAGAATGTTAATGAATATATTAAAAAAATATGATCATTGTCAAAGAGTATGTAATATTGTAAAGAGAAATGAAATGCCTTTGAACTATATTTTGGAGATTGAGATATTTTATGTTTGGGGATTAGATTTTGTAGGATCTTTTGTGCAATCCCATAGAAATTATATATATTCATATTGTTGTGGATTATGTTTAAAAATGGATTGAAGGAGTTGTAACCCTTAGAACTGATGCCCAGGTCTTAATTAAATTTTAAAAGAAACATATTTTTTCTAGATTTAGAATGCCTTGAGTTTTAATCCGTGATGGAGGAAGTCATTTCTATAATACAAGAATAGAAGTAATGTTAAATAAAATATGAAATTCATCACAGGATTGCAAATGCTTATCATCCCCACAACAATAAATTTTTGAAACTAGTGTCCAAGCTAAGATTAATAATAGAGAGATTAAGTAAATTTTTGAAAAAATTATCAGTTCTAATAGGAAGGTTTAGGATATTAAGTTAGTTGATGCATTATGGGCCTAAAGAACTATATTTAAGACTCTTATTGGTATGTCTCCTTATAAATAAATTTTTGAAAAAGCTTGACACCTTCCTATAAAATTAGAACATAAGGCATTTTAGGCTAATAGAGAATTGGATTTTAATTGGAAGGCATAAAAGAGAAAAGATTAATACAATTAAATGAATTAGAAGAAATTAGAAATTAGGCCTATAAAAATGTATAAGGATAAAGTTAAAAAAATGGCATGATTGTATGCTTCTTAAGAAATAATTTAGCCCTGTACTTAAGTTATTTTTAGGAAAACTAAAATCTAGGTGGTGAGGACTATTCAATATCTTGAGAGTATTTCTTTATGAAACTGTTGAAATTCATGATAAAAAGTTTGCATGTTTTCAAGCTTGATGGGTATAGGCTGAACCCTATTTTGGTTGGGATCTTTATCAATTGTGAAATATAGTTGAGTTATTTCATCCTTAAATATGATAATTATTATAGTCTGGTTGAAGGCTATAAACATTGTATTGATGGGAGGCAACCCACTTATGTTAGTTGTTTTTAGTTATTATTAGTACCCTGTGGATGTTTTGTATTTGTTTTATATCTTATTAAATTTTCTTATATTTGTTTTATATCTTATCTTATGTCTTCAACCGTTAATACACATAATTTCCTTATTTAGCAAAAATAAAAATTATATAAAATTTGGATAATAGTAAAACCATAAATTATAGTTTGAATAAACATTGCATTATAATTCATACTTTGAAAAAATCTCTAATCTAGATCATTTAAGTTATTGACTTAATTATGAATTTAGAGACTATACATTAACTAATATTGATAGCTGAATTAAAATGAATATGAAAATTTAAGGATTAGATACAAGTAGCTTAAATCAAGAAAATCATAGTTAAACTTAAAACAGTAACTAGAAAATTTATTG